GGGAAAATGTCCTACTAGGCCTATAATATTTCGGTGCAGCCTTTCACCGTAAGACATTAAGAGTGTGCCAGAATCGGCCTGCAGGGCCAAGGCAACGTCGTTTCGTCCCGAAACAAAAACCTACAAGAGAGAGAGAGAGAGAGAGAGAGAGAGAGAGAGAGAGAGAGAGAGAGAGAGAGAGAGAGAGAGAGAGAGAGAGAGAGAGAGAGAGGGAGAGAGAGAGAGAAGCCTGGCGGCCCGATTGACCCAACTTTACTGAAAGAGCAGGAAATGGTCGGACGAGCGGCGAGTCGCGGCGAGACGCGGCGTTCCCGCGAGCAAAATCGTGATGTCACCAGGTCCGCTGGGCCCGCTGGGTCGCTTGCCCTGTCCCGGTCCAGCACCACATCCGCACCGGTTTGGTTTGGAAACGAGAGTGGAATAAAAACGATAAAAAGGCCGAAGGAACGCACCAGGAACGCGCCGATTCTGAGGCACTGTCGCTAGGCTGGTAGTCAAAGGTGTAGCGCAGCGCCCGTCAAGACCGTCAAGACGGCGACGAGTTTTGCCGGCGGTGATGGCTGCTGCCGCGCCGCAGACTCGTCGCTCTGTCTCACTCGCACCTCACGGGAAACTCCATGAGTGCGAGAGAGACAGAGCGGCTCTGCTGCGCCGCTGCGCCACAAGACACACGATACGGCCCGCCCTTACGTAACGTCATCGGGCTTGTGTGACACCTGGGAGGGTCCCGGGGGTCCTGGGAGGGGACGTGTCACTCACCTGACTCACCCCCTTCCCCTTCCCCCTCCCCCTTCCCCCTTCCCCTCCCTTCCCCCCCCCCCCTGCACCGCTATGCATCTCTCGGCGCCGCCATTTCCACTCCCTTTATCTCTGTCATTGTGGAATCCTTTGCCCGAGTTCGTCGTTCTTCGGCGTGTTTACGTGTCCTATCTCTGTCTATCGCGGGTAAAAATAGCACCCAATAATGCGATTCACTTTTCGCTTGGAGAGGTGTCTCGGTTTCGGCCTGGCACGCAGAATGTACGCCCGAGCAGCGGCAGCATCACGTGAAGATGTGAGCACCTCGCCAATAATAGGAGTATCATGCACCTTGGGGGATCTAGCGGGGCTGTGGACAGACTGACGCCACCAATCTCTGAGCGTGGATTCGAAACCGAAGTGGAATGCATATTCATCCCCACCGTTGAGTGCAAGGTAGGGTGCATTATTTGTTCCACACGGCTTTGGGAATTCCCTCTTCCCGATGGGTTTTGAAATCCGCTGAAGAAAGTTAGGCTCGTAGTGCAGTCAGGTTAGCAGGTGCGGATCCAGAGACGGGTTGGGGAGGGGAAGGACGTCGCAAAAGCACGCAAAAGTTGCCTGCCTGCACGGGAAAAGTGTGACTTGTTGCCTACCTTTGGGGAGCCCCCGCCCCCCGTCCGCACCTGGTGTTCGAAGTCGCTGATGACGCGCCGCGGGTAATTGCTCCTTGCGTATTGGAATGCGAGAGCGAGATTTGGATTCCCCCTCCTCGCGTCGCCCTGCCCGCTCTGCCCCAGTCGCACCCCCAGGGCCCGCCGCGGCGTGCGAGAGAGACGGAGCGACGAAAGCAGCGGTGTTCGGAACCAGCCGCGCCGCCGCGCCGCCGCTTCCCTGAATGTGCGCCGGATTTAATTGCAGGCCGGACAACGACTGGAATGCAGGAAACCTGCAGGGAACCTGCAGGCCGCGCTGCCGCGCTGCAGCGCTGCTGCACTGCCAAGCAAGCAGCACCGGTCTTTGCAGAGTGGAGTGGAGCGGAGCGGAGCCACCAGGACCACTTTTACGGAAGCGGGCTGCGCGGCGGGGAGCCGGTGCGGCTGGACTCTGGCTGCCCTGTCCGAGATGTCCACGAGGTCTGGCGTGTCATTTACCCTTTGAATAATTAATAAATTCGACTTCGGACCAGACTTGACAAAAGCGTTGGATTCTAACACGGGTTTCAACGAGGGGGCAACCACCTACGATGTTTGGGGACACAAGATTTCGAAAGGCAAGAGGTTTCGTCGGATTTCGTCCATTTTTAAGCCTAAAACCCGCCTGTTTTTGGCCTTTTTGGGAGATTTCGAATTTCCCAGAGATTCCTAGGGCTCCAGGGTACAGAGGATTTCTCGAGTGGATGCCCCCATGGGTTTCAAATTCCGCTGTCGTTGACTCGCTTGCCGTTGGAAACACAAACGTCAAACAAAACGCGCATCTCACGGCGCGCCATTTTGGCATTCCCTCGTTGTCTTCACGGTGATTGATTTGTGGTCCTCAACTCGACTGACTAGATAACGACTTCGGGGGGCGACAACGATACGCTGGCCGTCCTCGACACCACGCTCCGCGCACCGCGCACGTCCAGTGCACGTCCAGGGGCTAAAAAGAGGAATGAATGGAGTCGACGGCATGACGGCATGGGCAAGGCAAAGCCGCCTCGGTCCGAGAGAGAGGGATGGGGGGGGGGGGGGGAGGACTGGGTTGGCAGCGTTACCGCGCGCGCGACACGGGAGAAGGGGGGCCTCCAGCCGACCTCACATTCCTAGCGTTCCAGACACGCCTATTGCCGCGTAGCGCCGCGTGGCTCGCCGAAGCGCCTGTCGGAGTCTCTTTAAAACGGATGCACCTAATGCGCGCAATCACGCGTCACGCGCGGGACGAGCTCCTAGCCTCGCGGCAGGTGCGTACTGCCAGCCCCCTCTGTGAGGCCCTCTGTTAGGCGCACGGAGCGGGCATTCCCTCACACTCCAAGGCCCCAACGAAACGGGATCAAATGAGTAATCTTTGATATGAATTTTAGCGTTTTGAAAATTTTTCCTAAGTTTATCTGATGCGCACTGCACTGATAAAAATTTTGTCATAACTTAGCGACACATTTATCGCTAACTTTTTTAGCGACAAGATTTGTTTTGGAACGAATAGCTTGTTAAACCGTAGTTGTATTGGAACTAAGGGATAATTTCACAACGACTAACTTGTAATAACGCACCAACAATAACACATAAACGACAAGTATTGAAAATCCAAAAGAAATTTTGTAATGTCTGCGACAATATTCATAGAGTACTTTTGTCGCTTAATTTATTTTGCATGGTTTTTTTTTAACAAAAGTAATTTCCCTATTACTTAGAAGAACAAAATAGATGATTATTCATAATATGCTTCAATTGAGTAGATAATTGCAAAGGATGTTGTTTCCACACAAATTGTATCATAAAGAGTGATAACAAGAATTTTGTTCTTCAACGACAAAATGTCGCTTACTAGACTCAACGACATTTGTTTCGCTTTGCTTCATGATGAAATTCTATGTTTTGGAACGACTAAATTTTCACTCTTCTGATTGTTTCAGTACAATCATTTTTTAACAGTGTGCGCGCTTCGGACGTACTGTACTATGCTCGCTCGAAGAAACTCAAAACCAATCCAGATCTGCAGCCTGCGGCGCACACTGAAGCTTGTGCGTTTGTGCGTTTTCAGTGTGGAAGAGGGCGAATTGATTTCGCATCGTGGAGAAAATCTTCACCAACAGACTGGGTGCCGCCCGCAAGACTGCGGTGCGGCCTCTGCGCTGTGCTGCACAGTGCCGTGGCCGTGGAGCCGGTGGAGCCGCGCCGGCAGGGAAGTCCCAGGTCAGGTCCACAACAAGACGGGCGTTCTGGCGGCCCGCTCGCCGCGATCTGGCAACTGTGGGCGCGTTCGCCTCGTCCGCCGCGTCCTGTTGGCCGTGTCGTGTGGCATGGAAGGCAGTGTCGCGCCGCGTCCGCCGAGTCGTCGCGGACCACGGGACCGCCTCGTGACCGACGCCAGCAACGCCAGCACATCATCATACAGTGGCGGTTCGGCCGAGGGGCTGCGGCTCTGCGGGCACACTGCTCTCAATCCCTTTCCGAGTTGGCGCTCCGCGGCTCCAATCCCCAGTACACTGCAGGCGCCTCCACGGGACCCGTCAAAGTTCCGCCCAAAAATTCGCAAAACGGGCGCCAAAAGCACTTTTTAGCCGTTTTATGGGCGCGGATTCGTGTGCGGCTCAGAGGTGCTGGCCTTTTTCAAGGGACACGATGTGGATATGGTTGCGAAAATGATTATTTGCAGCAAATGCAGAATGGAAGCGCCAAGTTGCCAAGATTTTTGGGAAGCGATTTCGAACTGAGTCCCGACTGCGTTCGAATCTTCTCGGACAAGGCCCGTCCCAAGAAGCTATCAAGGTGCCCACATATTAGCCCGCCTATCGGGAATGTTCGAATGTATGAGCCGAAACGGGAAGCCGCCCAGTAACAAGAAGGTCTGTGCGCCCCACGCGTTCAAACGAGCCGCTGGCAAGCGCGCGCCATCTGTTGGCGGGGACGGGAACCACCGCGGGGAAGCTTGAGCTGCGATAGAGCAGTGGCGCCATCTGTCGGCAGAGTGTCGCTGTGCGCACTTCCCTGGTAGGTAGACTGACAGACCCAGCGCCTGTAGAGCGCTAATTCAGAGCCCGCTCGAAAACGGCATCAAAAATACGCACATAAAAGCGCTAGCGCTATCTAAGCGCGTTTTGCGCTTGTTTCGCATATCTTTGAAGCTCTTTTCAGCGGGCACCACGCGACCTCCCTGCCACCCGCCTACCGGTTTCGTGGGGACGGTGTTCTCTGATGGTCTGAGTCGACTTAGAGCCAGTCTGGATCTGTGAGTCAATTTCATATTAAAAATAGAATCAATTACGAAGTTGACAAGATATGGAACCAATGGAATCTCTATTGGAACTCGCATTACAGTGTTAGGACTTCCCTACCAGAGACGGGCAGTTTGACGTGCCTGTTTGCACAGAGGAAAGATATGCATTGTGTGAGACCACAAATTGTGACCATACACAGGAACAACGTGAGAGGTAAAGTAAAGTTGCCCATAGGGCCAGGCACGTTTAGGTTCAGCATCTAAACGAAACAAAGGATAGTGAACCGCTCTGCTGGTGCTGCGCGCCGCCATGAGGCACCGCGCTGACGCCCATGTTAGTGGCCATGTTAGTGACCATGTTAGTGCCCATGTTAGTGACCATGTTAGTGACCATGTTAGTGACCATGTTTGGTGACCATGTTGGTGACCATGTTAGTGCCCATGTTAGTGACCATGTTAGTGACCATGTTAGTGACCATGTTGGTGACCATGTTAGTGCCCATGTTAGTGACCATGTTAGTGACCATGTTAGTGACCATGTTAGTGACCATGTTAGTGACCATGTTAGTGACCATGTTAGTGACCATGTTAGTGACCATGTTAGTGACCATGTTAGTGACCATGTTAGTGACCATGTTAGTGACCACAACGTTGTGGCCATGAGCGCGACTGCAAACGCGTTGCCTTTCCGTGTCGGTTTCACTGCCTGCTTGCAGCGTGTTAGTGACCATGTTAGTGGCCATGTTAGTGACCATGTTAGTGACCATGTTAGTGACCATGTTAGTGACCATGTTAGTGACCATGTTAGTGCCCATGTTAGTGACCATGTTAGTGACCATGTTAGTGACCACAATGTTGTGGCCATGAGCGCGACTGCAAACGCGTTGCCTTTCCGTGTCGGTTTCACTGCCTGCTTGTGCAGCGTGTTAGTGACCATGTTAGTGGCCATGTTAGTGACCATGTTAGTGACCATGTTAGTGACCATGTTAGTGACCATGTTAGTGACCATGTTAGTGACCATGTTAGTGACCATGTTAGTGACCATGTTAGTGACCATGTTAGTGACCATGTTAGTGACCACAATGTTGTGGCCATGAGCGCGACTGCAAACGCGTTGCCTTTCCGTGTCGGTTTCACTGCCTGCTTGCGCAGCGTGGCGCGGCGCTTCCACGCCCGTTTGGGTTCGTGACCCGAACTCAAGCTTGGCGCCTGTGAGGTAGGCCACCACTGGTCCCGCAACACAGCGGCGTGGAGACGGTGGCCTACCTCGCCCCTGCTGCGATGACAGCCTGCGAGGTAGGCCACTCTCTCCGCGCCAGTGTGTTGCGGGACCAGTGGTGGCCTACCTCACAGGCGCTACGGCACTCCTTGGCCTCATGTGTGCAGCCACAACTGTGTGTAGCCACGCAGCCACGCGCGCTGAAGCCTATGAAGCAGCCATTGCTCTACCTGGCGCACGACGGTCAGCGGCGTCAGCGCACAATAGGCCAGGAGACCGCGTTTTGAGCTCCAGAGTCGCTAAACTGCGCTAAACAGGACTCAAACCGAGCGTGTGACCCCACCAATGGATTCCTCGTTCAGAGAGTAATCCATGGGTCCATGGGTGGGGTCACACGTTCTGCTCGAGTTCCATTTAGCGACTCTGAGGCTCAAAACACGTCTAGAATTTTGGCCGCCTCCGCCGGTCTTCTGGCCCACTGTGCAGCGATAGCTTGCCATAGCCTGCACTGTGCCCTACACCTGCAGCCTGCAGCCCCACCGAGGGGTTACCCACTCGGTACTTGGGCGTACACACGATTCCGGATTCCCGCGATTCCTGAACAAATCTTGCATAAAGGGAGAGGTTTTTGAAGATTTTTCTTACCTTTTGAGTGTTTTGTGTCTATTACATATCCCTCTCCATTGAAACTTTTAAGATTTCCGATAAAATTTTGAGCACATTACGAACGATTCCCGGACTGAGTGTACACACGATTCCCGGAGTGGGTAACCCCTCGAGCCCCACGCCACACGGCCATCGGTCCGGGATTTCGCTAAAACGGACTCGACTCAAGCATAATTTGATCGATTCCAGGAGTTTTCAATTTTAAACTAGCTCAAGGCGAGGCCTTCAAAAATACACGCTAGAAAAGTTTTTAACAGGAAAACTTTTATTTCAATATATACTGATAGGATTTGGAAACATTCAATGGGTTTCACAATGCATACCTAAACTTTTACAGCTCAATAAAATATGCAAATTTAAAGATACGTTTACATTATATTGATTTAGTTATTCAGTATGCAGGACAAGTACATTATACAATTGACAGAATTACATTGTGATTTCCTTAGACTACATTTTTCACAGATTGGAGGGATTGCCACTAAATTTATGTTTACATATTGCAATACTGGAATGTTAAGAGCACATTACAACGAGCAGCTGCCATGCTCTACCATGCGTTGATGACAAGAAAAATTACAGGGCAATTTTACAAAATGCAAGGGAATTCTGAAACTTCCAACCCAATGTAGATCTACTTGAGCACATACAATCACTGTCCATATTTCCGTCCTATGAAAGAAGGTTTCTTTTCCTTCATTGCTATTCCCTAGTGAAATGCAGCTTTGAAAGATTTCACAGACTTTCAAATTAAGCAGCAGTGTTGAGGAGAAAAGACACACATTCTCAAAGACACAGTGACACAAGTTTTGTAATACTGAGACAACATGGAAAACAGAAGGGAGCTCTAACTTACATAAGAGAAGTAAGAACTGAAATGTAAAATGTTACTGACCGTGTGACTTGTTTATAGTTTCCTACCTGAGCAATTGACAACATAAAATAGGACAAGAAGCTAACTCGTAGCTCCTTCTGTTGTCAATTTTTTAAAAAAATTCTACATATGTAAGAAAAAAGTAAACTTAAAATTCAGAGTAATGCATGTTCACCCACACAATCAATCTTCCAAATATCACCATCTATATTTTGACATAGTTGATGGGATGAGTTGACTAGTACCAGTCTAGAAGAATTAAATAACCAAGGGACTTGTTTAGCTTTGTACAGCTCAATGCAAGAGAAAAAGAACCTAGAATGATTGGTGAATGCAAAGTCGGTTCACTATAGGTCCTAGAAACAAAGAGGATAATTTACAAATAATGTCTCTTTTGACGAGCATCTTTCTCCACACCTGGACTATAAAACAGAATCAATTTCTCAATCAATCCACACAATCTAAAGGAGCTAAATCACACTTCCAAGGAAACATTCATCATTAGTCAGAGTACTGTAAGGCAACATCCCAGCGATGAAGATTACAAATCGTAAGCTATTAAAACAACAAGAAATGTTTTAGCCACCAGAAATAAATTGAGTCAAGTGCTGCTTTTGTAAAGGATTCTCAGTTAAGAGGAAACAAGAAATGTTCTTGAAACATAGAAGATAAAACTGAACTTAGGAATCCTCAACCTCGCATATATCATGGATCTACTTACTCCAAATGAAAAACATTGGTACAAAACAAACTGAGATGTGGAGAAGATGGTAAAACCGACTACAACCACCCTAGTACAGACACCTTACTACATAGACTTGATGCAATGCTCAAGTAGAATAATGATAATTGGAAAAATAAAAAATAAAACAGCAAATAACATTGTGTGGTCACTTCTGCCAGAAAAGTATCATAAACAATGGCCCTTGTATGTTAATTAAAACATAACTAAGCAACATCAAAGTCTTATTTGTTCAGGATGAAGACAGTGTGTCTTTGAATAAACCATATTGTGATGAAGAAAACCAATTATAGTTAAACTTGTGCAAAATGTGGTAACTTACACTGTACCAAATAAACCTCAAACTCACATGCCGCAACCTGGTATGGCACTGAATTCCTGGCTGCATCATCATGTTTAGATAAATTATCAATTTATTGACGAAACACAAAAGTGAATCTTAATTCTGATCCGTACAGTCTTCACTGATTCACTAAAGAGTCATTTGAATCATTCTTTTCACTAACTGCCACAAAAGAAATTACCATCTGTTTTTCAGAACAAAAAAGATCATATGTCTTTTTCACTTTACAGGTGACAACAGAAACAGAAGCATGATAGCTTTTATACACAAACAGCTGTATAAAAAAAGCACAGTATTGGCACAATTGTGCATGTAAGTGCCAATTTTATCAAAGCCTTGTAAAGAATTGCACTTTATAGCTGCCTTTGGAATAGGTACAAACAAAACAATGATTTAAAAAAGAACAAATGGTGACAAAGCAGCACAAAATTTGCAACCAAAGGTCATTTATCAGAGCTGTGAGAACAAAATGAATGCTTTGCTTTGCACAGCAATACATAAAAGAAACAGTACAAATAAGATACAAAATTTGATTGAGACAGAATAAATATGAAGACTCAATGAAGTACAATTGGCTTTCAGCTCTGTAAGCCCAATTAAGAAGTTCCTTGAGCTGCGATAAGCGCAGCTTTAAACAGGGTAGAGGGCTCTTTGTTTCAATGGATCGTGATGTCTGCAAGAATGAAGTATGGAGTCCTGTTATGAGTATTTGGTACAAAGTCAAAACACCAAGAGCAGAGCTGTCATGGACATATTGATAAAAAGAGAGACAAAAACTATAACAATGTTCCCAATACTTTAATGGTTGTAATAATTATTCCAATAACTATCACATGGTTCACATTTCACTTAGTGAAGAGAAGTTGCCATTAATGCATACAAGAAAAAGTGCACCATTACAATTACTTCAAAGCAAAATTAATTTTTAAAATTGCTTTAAAATAAAAGAAGCCATGGGACTTTACCATAGGTTCTGCCACATTCTAGAGAATTAGATGAGAGATTTCATACATTTTTATATCAAAAGCAGTGCAGAGGGAGAAGACTGTGAGACAAAAATCAAGGTAAAAGACCTACATTTTAGAACAATAATATCATAGACTCTGCATTGTGTTAATAACCACACACATAATAGTTCAAGCCTAAAACAGCCTATTAAACGTGCAATCTGAAAAGTTGGACAAACTCTATAACTTTCAGAGAAGGAACACAGAGAAGGAATGTGGTACTCAGAGTTGATAGAATACTTCTGTTTCAATGACACAGCACTGTCATGATGCTGTCTCGATTATATACTGTAATAACAAACAAAAATTAAAGCTAAATATCAATGAAAATGCTGATTGATCAGTTCTACTTTCTTGGGAGAAATTAATTTATTGATTGCCTATAAATGGAATTGGACTGGCTTGTCTTGCCTCAGCACCAAATGGAAATCAAGTTGTTAGCAAGCAAGCAAGCAACACCATTAGCCTCTCAAACTTGCTCACTCCTCAGCCAAGCCTTAGAGACCCACTTCATGCTTCAGGTAAAAGGTTTCGACTGAGGGATAACCATGTAAAAGTGATAGCATCAGATTCTACCAGAGCATACTTTCAAGCCTGGAGTTGAACATACTTATACTAAAAAAAATGATTAAATGAAAATCATACAATTTCCTAAACAAGACTACAAGGCTAAAATATTCAGGGATAAAAGGAGATAAAAATAAATATCTACTAACAAAAAATTATCTAAAGCCATTGTTATGATTCGTTTGACCATAACTCATCTACAAGACTGAATAAAAAGTAGAACAGCAGAGAATAAAAATAAATATGTTAATGAAAAAAGCATGAATATGAAAAATTCCATGCTATGCTGATGTGCTGAACAAAGCTAAATTCTAGCACAGCCTGGACTCTTTTAAGATGGCACAGAAATTTTGTAAACCCCTCCCTCAGAGTGACTTCTCTTTTACATCTCACTTCACATGGAACTGCGATACAGTATGGACCAATGGGGTGGAAACAGTTGCAAGAAGAAAGAGGATTTCCACTATCAGAGCACTCAACAGGTGTTAATAGAAGAGTTACCAGTTTCACTGTTAAGTTCTTACAAACCTCACAGAATTTTCAGCACTCATGGTCAGATTCATTCAGAAGTGAACAAATATTTGAGTTAATTTGCATATCAAAACATACAAAAAGGAAACAAATAAGCATTCAGAAATATGTTACTGCCTGAATCTGAAATATTCCTTTATGCTTCTCCTCATTTGCTTCTTACAATTTATCGATTTTTTTAAAATATTCCTGACAATGAAGTATTTTTTTAAAACCAGCTACAAGTAAAGTTAAAACCAAAAATTGGAACTACCAACATAAGTCAAATATATGATAAACATCATTAACAGATCAGTTCAGGAAACCCTAAAAAAAATATAACATTTAGAATGAAGTTAACCCTTATTCAACCTTTTCCTTCTAAAATGGTCTCTGATGAAATACAATTGAAACTTCACAGACCAACGTCCGTCTTAACAATATCCAGAAGGATCCAAATATTCAAAAATTCACAGCCTCCAACACAACAATAACAACAATAGCAACAACATTTCAGAGGGCAAGTAGCTAAGGCGTGATGCACTGTGAAATATGTGGGAACTTGATAAACTAATATGAAATAAAGCCAGAGTGGAGGGAGGAGGGAGAAGAAAAAAAAGCTTACTACATGATAGGATTTAGCTATACCTAGGAACTATCACAGATATTGGAACGTAGGGTCTCATTCTCCAGTGTCAGCCCATTTACTCTCTTCTAGTAGTCGATCAAAGCAATCCAACATGAATATGTACTGAAAAAATAAGAAGAGGTTGTTAATATTTCTTCATACGTACATGGTGCAGCTACAACACATAGTGAAAGATAACCTCGAACAAAACAACATATTTAAAGGTATGATCACTTACATAGGGTGTGAAAATTTTCACCCATCGAGGTTTCTTATCTGGGCGTTGATATTGAAAGCAGAATGCCATTGTTTCCTCATCGACTTCCCACTCCTTAATATCAGGCCAGAGAAATTCTACTACCTGAGACTGGGAAAGAAACATGAATTAAGTCGTGGGTGATGAGTAGTAATGAAATTGAAAGCTATTTCCTTTCTTACCTCCAAGACTCCATCCTTTTGGCAAGCATGAAGCTTAAATGAGCCAGTACCCACTGATGCCATTACATGGCCTTCCTTACGGGAATCACAAGGGCAATGTGGGAAAACAATTTCTCCATAACCTGGTAATTCTCTTGCAAGTCTCAAATACTGAAGAGAGAGAAAGTTTAGATCGGTGATAGGTAGAGTCAAGGAGCATGATTAACACAAATTCTAACCTCATTTTTGCGTGAGGAATCCTGTAGAGCTTTTAGCTGATAAAGACGATCCAAAGCTCGCACATGACCTCTGTTGACATCCTCAACTGCTTGCCAGAAGATAAATGTTGTGGCATAGTCATCAGCTGAGAGTGCAAGCTCTCGAGGCAGAGAAAACAGCCATTTTTTAACACACAGGCATGTTGGTGAGGCAGTAGTAAAGTTTTGGATGTATAAATTGTGAGGATATTCAGTTGGCAACAGTTTGCGATCTGTTAAGACAATGTAACAAAGTTAGACACCATAAAAGAATTTGATGTTCCAAGTATTTCATAGCAGACTTACCAAACATGTCTTCTACAGTTTCAAATAAGTAAAAGTATCTTGATGAACTTTTTTGCAAATGAATACGTTCCATTACAGCATGAAACACATCCTCAGCAGTTGCATTTTTAGGCATTGAAACAGTAACAACATTTTTGTCAGGGAGTTGTACTTTCAAATCCACAGGAGATGTATTTCCCTAGAGAGAAGAAAATAGGAAGTTTTAAACCCTAAGGTATCTTACTAATCTTGTATGCACAAGCAGGGAGACCAAATTCTGAATCATACCTAAATTCTTGCTTAGAATACAAAAATTTAGAAACATAAATAGTTTGAACATGAGTTGTTTTGTAAAATGTGTACAGACTTGCAAAAACGAGGGCTACATTAGTAAGAAAGACATTTAGGAACTACAAACCTTTATTTCACAAATCAAAGTAATGAGGAAGAAGGAAAAAGTAAAGAGTATAAACTAGTTGTCAGCATGCATAGTTATGCATAAAAGTGGCATGCGAGTGGATTAAAATCTAAAGGACAAACCTCTGCAGATCTGTTAAAGCTTTATTAGCAAACCAAATAAACTTAGGTACTGAAGCAAAGCCACCTCTATACAGCATACATAATGACAAATATTCAAATACAGTAACTGTTCATTCTAAGCAGATCAGAGCGAAAACAACAGTACAACATAACAAACTCATATTTACAGTACATGGCCACTTGATACAAAAGCAATTGAGTCCAAATGAGAAAAATATTTTGCTTTCCCAAAAATTAATAGCAGTTAGGATTTTCTGTTTTAATGTCAAAGGCATGCGACAAAACCATGATATTTTTCTTGCTTAAGTAAGCAAAGTTAGCATGATTCGGGATCTATAACTGAGAAAAAAAAGAGGATCCTCTTGAAACAAAATGTTTCAGACAATGAAGAAAAATAATTCAGGCAACTTTCAACATTAGTTAACATTAAATAAAACACAAAATCTTTCAAAAGTAATAACAATAATATATTGTTGTAAAAAAGCGAGTCACACAAAACACCAACGTGAAGTCTGTTTAAGGGAGATAGACATGTCAGAAGTAAAAGCTTGCAGAGCAAGATTAAGAAACAGATCACTTGGTATAGTATTACAAAGTGAATGCAGCTTTCCCCAGGTCCATCAAAACTGAGAATTATGAGTGAAAAAAGCCGTGGCATGTCAGGAAAAGCTTGTTTCGTTTCTCAAAGCATCAATTTCTTGGTAAAGATGAGCAGAAATCGAGTGGCATGGGCAGCTGCACTCATCTTCTGCATAGCAAGCTGTAGCAACATCACCGTTGCTTATCGTGCACTCCAATTGCCAGTTTATTGTTGATGAGTCGTCGTAAGGCTCAACCACCTCCCACTTGCGAAAAAACCCATTCACAATTTGTTTTTACAACCAAATACAGGAAATCTTTACTGTGCTTCTTTCTATAGTATTCCCAACAAGTCACCACTTAAAAGGATATGAATTCTGAAAGTGACTGCCAATAGTGGCTAATGAAAATGAGTAGAAAGCAGCTAAGAAAGTTCTCAATCTTAAGCTCAATAGACAGACACAACAAAAGGCATTGGTAGTTAATTTTTTAGGCTTGAAGGAAACAGTAAGAAAGCCGTACAGTCAGTAATTAAAACCAAAAAGCCTTCTAGCACAAAGCAAACATGCCATAAGTTAAGGAAAAAAATGGTTAGCTTAGATGAAATTAATATAAAGTCAGAACTTACCAACTCGTCATCAGTGTCTGCCAAGAACTCTTGAACAATATCACTTTCAGCAATAACTCTCACGGCACATACTTTTTCCAAGTACTGTTCAAGTCCTCTACGCCGAGAATCCAGTTGCTGTTCACTTAAACTAAAATGAGAAATGAAATGGAACATTTATTTCACTGTGTTAGTGCACTAAACAAAACAAAAAAAAGGACTCGAAAAGATAAAACTTGTTAATATCTTACTTGAAGGGCCATTTTCCAGGTAACTTTGGAAAAGCAAATCCAATAAACTCCTTTTTGAGGGCTAAGTGTAGATTGGAAAATTCTCTATACCTTCTTGAGCACAAGTGTCTTCCAGCCATATAAATATTAAAAACCTGAAAATGTTTAAAATTAAAACATACCAGAGCACATAGCATCTGACATTTAAAGTTGCCATTATATTTTTTAATCATAGCTTACCACAAATTTATCTCCATTTTTCTCTACGTAGTGGTAGTCTGGGACAGATATAGGCAATGAGCGTTTCTCACTATAGTCAAAATAATTGTAACCTGCTACCTCTTCAGCTGGCTCTAATCTCTCAGCCTCTTGGGCAGTGACTGATATTACTGTTAAGGTAAGAACATCCCCTCCAGACTTTATTAAATCCACCACCTGCTTGTGGGTGGCACCTTCAACATTTTCTCCATTGCTGAAAAATATTTTAAGAATTCATTACACAATCAGAAATAAAAAGTTGAGGAAGACTTCAAAAGATTATGACACTTAACAGGTCAGGTCAGGGGGGGCCAAAGAATTTGCTCAAGATCTCAAATAAACTTATCAGTACTCAAAGTCCAGAGATCAGTGGTCTGTATAGACTCCTCCCACCTTGAGATATATGTTGGAAAGGAAATAAGATAAGGGGTAACATTTCAAAGGAGGAATAAGGATCAATCCAAAAATTGATACAAGTCAAATTATCAGAAAACTGGCATTGATCAAAAATTTAGAAGGTTATAAAAGAGAAATAATTTTCAGAACATACATCTGTTCCGATTTTCAATGAACAGCTAATAAAGGAAGAACGCCGCTTCTCTGCAAAACTAATTGCTGAATGCAGTCATGTAACTGCAAGCGTACAACAACCCATTCTATTACAAATTGTCCGACGAGAAGTTGGCGATAACTAACCACTAAACAAGGATCCAGACAAAGTTATTGGACATGCCCCTCTGGGCCGCAATGAGAATCGAAGCGTTGGAGGGACTCGGGAAATCAGCAACAAGAAATGATATTTCCGTCAGTAAAAAATGAGAGACATAAACAAACGAGTAAAAGTGTTGGAGGTGGAGGAGGTGTGAGGGCCACCAGAGACACCTGACCAAATCGCCTCTAGCCGCTGGCCGAGGGGGGCTGCAGGCTGGGCCTGGCTGGGCCCTGCAATCGCCAGCAATACTCACACTTGCAAAATGCGGTCCCCTTTGCGCACCCCAGCCCTCTCGGCAGCGCCCCCGTCCAGGACGGCGCTGACATGCTGAAGGGGCGCGTACAGTTCTCCATTGATGCTCCGGAGCTGCCCACCCTCACTGACTTGGCCGCGGACGTTGAAGCCGAATCCCGTTTCAGTCTTTGTAATTGTCACTTCCCTAGGGCCGGAGTGTGTCACTTTATAAGGCTCGTTTGGTGGGCTACTATCCGACCCACTTTCAGCCATGTTTGACAGCAGATGTTCGATGCGCCCCAGGGCTGCGGGGCTCACAGAGGAGCGGGGCTGATCGTTCGCTCGGGTCGTGGTCGTTCGCTCGGCGGCGGCGGGGTCGTTGTCGCTCGTGTCGTGTATGACAACTTTATCAGTCAGTAGTCACAGCCTGTCAATAGTCATCGGTTATTCACAGTTTTAGGACTATTCGTTCGCAATTTTGTCTTTCCAAGCAAATTAATCGCCCTTTTCAGCGACCTATCTCGCAAAACATGAAACCCTGTTCCGCAGACGACAAGCTTTGCTAGCGCGCGTTGCGCGTTCGGTCGTGGAATCATTGGAATGCTGGGTAGTCCGGGCTGTCCGGGCGCCTGCGCACCATTCGCAGAACGCCTCCCAGGTGAGCAACCAAAGCACAACAGAAAATTCCAGAACAGCTGGGTGATGTTATTGTATTTTAAGCTAGATTTCTGCAAACAGTTGTAGAAATCTCGCTCTCAAGTGTTGTGTCCCTACAGATATGAATGATTCTTCAAGTTATGGCAACGTTGTGTCTACAATGATTGAAAAGTTTAACACCATTTACTCCAAAAATACCCCTGAGAATGGGTACCCACAAATGTATACAGAGGATCACTATGCAAGCGACAACCGACCAAGGTTCGTAAAGCTCTTTTCTGAGTTTAGTTGATTCTGCTTGTTATGCCTTCATCCGACTCCTTACTCTCGCTGTAGAACTTAACTTGGCTCTTTGTTCTCTACAGAGTATGGTTAGGCCCCATCATTCATTTGATCCATTGTTATTGTTTTGTCCGCATACCTTTCGACTGCCCATAAACTTTAATTTGTTCTTTATTATCTGCTTCAGAACTTCACATTTGCTGCCATGTGTTCCTTTTGACCTCTAGTATTTTCCTTTTGATGCTCAGTTATAAATTTTAATGGCAAAAAAATAACAAAACGCTTGTTTGTGCACATTTGACATCTCTTTTTTTTTTAAATCATGACTTGGTCTCCCGTTCATTCTGATTTTATCATGTTCTTGTCTGTGTTGCAGAGAAAATGGAATGGAAGACTGCGGACCAGGGTAAGCCACTATTTTTAATAACTTCGTGCTATTTGAAAATTTTGTTTACTTCTGGTTGTTTCATTACATATGGGTATCCTCTTTGCAGTGTAAACCGATCCACCAAAACCTTCAAGCCAAAGAAAAGTCTTCCAGATGAGAGCTACCAGTGTGATTTGATGAAATATTCTTCTGATACTCTTGGTTCTGGTGACCTGAGATTGGCTGTTCAACTACCTGAGGGAGGAGATCTTAATGAATGGGTGGCTTCAAACAGTAAGCATTGTCATAGTTCTTTGATCTTTTGTCTCATGTATTGTTGTTGTTCGTGAGACCCTAACATTTGTTTCCTTACAGCGGTAGATTTTTCCAATCAGATCAACATGCTCTATGGAACACTGACAGAGTTTTGTACAGAGGATGGGTGTCCAATCATGTCTGCTGGACCAAAGTATGAGTACCACTGGGCTGATGGCCACACTGTGAAGAAACCCATCAAGTGCTCTGCTCCAAAGTACATTGATTACTTGATGACATGGGTGCAGGATCAGTTAGATGATGCCTCATTGTTTCCATCAAAAAGAGGTGTGTTTAGTTTCAAACCACATAAATGGCAACTATTTTCTCTTAGCACCATGTATAATAATTTTGTTCTGTTCCATTCAGGAATACCTTTTCCTAAGAATTTTCTCTCAATCGCCAAGACAATTCTCCGGCGTCTTTTCAGAGTGTATGCTCATGTATACCATGAACATTTTTTGGATGTTCTGCAACTTGGTGAAGTTGCTCATTTAAACACCTCTTTCAAGCACTTCATTATTTTTGTAAACGTAAGTTAAATAATTTTCAGTGTGTCAAAACATCAGTATGTTCCTTTTGAACTGGAATAATCCTGTACTTGTTATTTATTTCAGGAGTTCAGCCTCATTGATAAGAGAGAACTCGCACCTTTGCAAGAGCTTTGCGACAAGTATGTGAACAAAGATGACTGAAACACTTCAAGAGCAGAGGCATCCGCTTCATATTTATCTTGCGAAGTGATATGTGCTATGTGCTGAATGTAAAGTCCGTCCAGTGTATATCTGTCAGGAGATGTATACATCAAATAATTTTTGCAATGTTATATTTGTATGACTTTGATAAATTTAAATATTTTTACTGCCCTTAAATTCAGCTTGATTGTTTTGTATGGCAGACTGATTCTTTTTTATTCTATTGTGAAATTTAATTTTATTGTTGAAACATTAATACAGTTTTATATGTAATTTTAGTGTTAGTGAAATAATAAATTTGCTGTTTATTGTTAACAGTGTTTGTTTCAATTAAACCTATATAATTTATTGTGTTTTTAACTCTTGCTGTACTGTGACATGTGGCCAAATCTCCTTTACCATATTTGTAAAACTATTTTGTAAGTTTTGATGAGCCCTTCCTAGTGCATAATCTTTTATGTAATATGTAAGAGGCTTGTTGGTCACTCATGTTTTTGTACTCCTGTACAACAGTGTATCAATTTTACTGTCTTGTGTGAATATCAATTTACAAATTGCATTTTAATTGGAGCATTTCAGAAGAGATAGAACAGACTACATAATGCGTTTCCTCATGAGACCCTTACTTGCCATTCCTGTTAAGAAGTTACAACCATTTTGAAGCATGTCTGTATTAGGTATTAGAAGGAACAGTTTTACCATAATCACCTAATGTAAATGTCTTAAATATACCGCGTTTAAAATAAAGATGCATCAATCCAGAACTCGCTTTTGCGTTTGTCTCTTGGGACCTGTTTAAAAGACCATGACCGCAGTGCTCGGCGTGTGCGCTCGCAGTGGCGGCCCGGGGGGTAGGGCCGGAGGGCCGGAGGGTAGGGCGCCGGGCCGGAGGGTAGGGCGCCGGGCGTCTGGCCGCGCAGGACGCAGGAGAGGCGGCACGGCGGCGGCTCGGCTGGCACTGGCGACTGGCGGGGGCTCGGCCTCGGCCTGCTCCCTGCTCGGCTTGGCCAGGCTGGGCCGCCCAGCCGCCCCAGCCCCAAGACACCGCGCCGCGCGCTGAGCGCCTCGCGGCCGAGACGAGACGGCGAGCGCGGTGGCGCGGTTCGGTTCTGCTTCTGCTCGCGGCCCAGGCAGGCCGAGGCAGGCCCAGTCCGCGGTGCGGTCCAGTCCGCCGACGACCACCTCGCAGTGCGGTTCGCTCCGATCGCGCCGTCCGGTTCGCGGCACTCGCGCTGCACTTGGAGACGCTGGGAGAGATCGCGACCGCCGCCCTCTGGATTTACGCGTCCTGCCGCCCCAGCTGTGCCCGGAGGTAAGCGAGCGTCCCGGCCGCCCGCCCTGGGGGAAGGCCTAGGAAGGCCTGGGCTGCAGCAGGGCAGGCACGACGTCCTGGGGGAAGCCCTCTGCGGGCTACGCTTGCGTGCTGCACGCGTTGACGTCCTGGGACGCTGGGGGAAGTCCTCCACTGGACTGGACCAGGCGACGCACGACGTCCAGGGACAACTCGGCGGCCAGCACTGGACTCCTGGACCAAGATTGTAATTGGGAATTTTTTTCCGTCACTCGGACGGCGTCCAATTAGGCCGCGGGAAGTGGTCGTCGTCGCAGGGAAGTCCTCCATCTCTTAACACAACGGCCCTTGTCCTCCAAAAAACGAATTATTTCATGACACGGCGCATGCCCACCCAGTTTTCTTGACATGTGTACGCGCGGGCCGAGGACGCTGTCTCGAAAGCGAACAGCGAATGGGATTACGGGTCGGGCTGCCACCGGGCCGCGGGCCGCGGGTGGCGCCAAGTAGACCACCAGTCACGTGTGAAGTGGCCGACGGGCCGACGGGGCGGGGGCAGGGGGCGGGGGCGAGGCGCCGCTAATTTCGGAAACGCCAACAAACACGCCGACTTTCCGATCCGATCGGGCGGCCGACCGCGGTGACAAGCGGGCCGGGACCACGCCGCGCGCCGCCAGGGCGTCGTGGCCGCGCTGGCGGTCCTGGTCGACGTCCTAGGTGTCCAGGCCGTGCTGGCCGCCCTGGCCGACGTCCTAGCTGTACTGGTTGTGCTGGCCGTGCGAGCCGTTCTAGCTGTCTCAGATGCACCAGTAGTGCTGGCGGTCCTAGCCGTCCTGGGTGTGCTGGCCGTGCGAGCCGTTCTAGCTGTCTCAGACGCACCAGTAGTGCTGGCGGTCCTAGCGTCCTGGGTGTGCTGGCCATGCTGCCCGGCGGGGGCCGACTGCCGCTTGGGTGCGAGTGATAGGAACAATGCACGGGGCGCCGCGCCGCGGGTCGCCGTTTATCGGCCGGGCTTTACGAGACCCTCGACGGGGGCGGCACGGCGGCACGACGGGGGCCTTGGTGACCAGGTCCGCGACACCGCGTGTACCTGGCCAGACCTGGCCCTGCTCGGCCTCGGCGCGCTTTACCTTCGACCCAGTGAGCGCGCGGCTCGGCGCGCGGCCACCAGGTGGGCAGAGGCGGGCGGGCCGGGGGCGGCGGCGGGGCGGGGGCGGGGCGGGGGCGCCTGGGCGTGAGGCTGCACGGCTGCGCTGCGCCCAGCTGCGTGCCGAGCCGAGCCGACGTCCGCGACGCGCCGCGCCAGCCGTTTCACGCGCGGAGCCGAGCCGGAGTTAGGCCCCTCGTAGTCTACGGAAGTTGCCCACGCCTCGCAGCGCGCAGCCTCGGCGCCGCGCCGCCCTGCCCCTCCGCCCACACGCTGCCCCCGCGCCCCGCCCGCCACGCCCCCCGCGCCGGCCATGCGTTATTCTTTGCCGTAGTGTGTTGGCATCCCGGGCGACGCGACGCGACGCGCTCAAGTGAGACGGAGAGCCGTCCGAAAGCCATCCGAATGCCGTCCGAAAGCCCGCGGCGACCCGAGGGGAAGGCGGAGGGGAGGGGTAATGACTATGTGAACCCCGATGACAGCGAGACGACGGCGGCCTGCACTGCGCGCTTTGAAACCCCGGCCCCGCCCCGCCCCGGCGCGGCACGGCACGGCACGTCGCGTTGAACCGCGTGCGCCGCACGTGCACGCGACGAGTGGCTGGATTTCGCTAAAGCGTGACGCGTCGCTTCGCCGGCCGGTGGCGCGATGCGGCGCGATGCGTGCTGGGCCGTGCCTTGTCGCCGCGCGCGTGACCAAAGGGGCAAACAAAAATCCTTCCTCGATACTCACCACTCACCGCACGTCCGACGGCCCGGCCCGGCCGAGGGGTGTCCGTGGCGCCCGGCCCAGCGCGCCCAGCGCCACACCCAGGGCGCGTCGTCGCCGCGAGGCCGCGGTTCCAAGTTCGAATACCGCCAGCGGATTCCACATATTTTCGCCCACTGCCCCGCCACGTCACTGACCTAGACCGGTAAGCCGAGCCCCAAAGGAGCCGCCGCGGCGCGCCCGGCATACCGCCCTGCGCGCCCTGCCCAGCCCTGCCCTGCTCACGTGGAAAGGGTTTACATTTCGTTCAACGGGGCGGCCGGGCCGCTCTATTTCGGAAGATGTGCCAAGGTCCTTAACCGGGAGGCGCGGGGCGGCGCGGGGCCTCGCCGTCACGGTGGCGGGGAAGGCCGCCGGCCAGGGTCAAGACCGCCCTGCCCTGCCCTGCCCCTGTCTCGCTCGTCAGCCCCGTCACGTCAGCCGACTGCCTCGCGGTGTGTCAGTGTGTCTCGCTCGCACCCATGCGGGACTGTCCGTGAGTGCGAGAGAGACGGCGCGACGAATGTTGCCGTTCGCGGGAAGAGCAGGCGACAACTCGGACGAGCAGAGCCGGGCAGCAGACCGAGTCCGAGAGTCGCTTTCGTCGCTCTGTCTCTCTCGCACCTAAATGGACGCCCCACGATTGTGAGAGAGACAGAGCGACGAAAACGACTCTCGGACCTCTGCAGGAGGACCCCTGCCGCTGGCTTCGCTCCTTACTCAACGGGCACCTGCCGAGTGACGTCACCGCGTCCTCGCCGCGCCGTGCGACGCTGTGCGGTGTGCCTGCCGGGCCTGCCATGCCGCCCGCGATGTTTACTCCGGATTTTAGCGCCGCGGATCGCGCTGCCCGCCTCGCCGTCTGTCGCTATTCTCGCTTTGTTTTCGCCCCGACGCCCAGAATACAGAGGGACTCATCTGCCGGCCGCGGGCCGCGAGGGCGGGGGGCCGGCGAGGCGGAGGCTGTCCAAACACGACCAGCGCGCTATTGGTTTTAGTCCGACGTGTCACCTTCAGTCAAACCGAGCCGAACCGAACCGCACGTGGTTCCACGAACGGCAGCGGCCGGCCGCTCCGGCAGCCCCGCCAGCCTACGCCGGCAAGGCCTGCAGGCCGCCTGTCTCTCCGTCTCCCTCGCACCCCTCCGGGACGCCCCGCGAGTGCGAGGGAGACGCGGCGACGAAAGCTCGGCTCGGAATGAGCCTCTCCCGCTTGCACTGGCCAAGGTGCGCCGCGAGTCGCTTTCGGACTGCAGGGAGCGGCCCAAACGGCTCTGCATGGGCGGAACGGCGGAACGGGGGACGGGGCGCCTACGCCATTCCAAGGGAGCGCGGACGCCTCGCCGCCTCGCCTCTGTCTCTCTCGCGCCCCGACGGAACGCCCGAGAGTGCGAGGGAGACAGAGCGACCCTTCGGTACCCTTCGGCCTGCTGCAGGCGGCTGCAGGGCACGGAGTGGGCGGGGAGGCGGTGGGCGCAGGTAGAGCCCTGGAGGGGCACCGGCACCGGAACGCGATCGCTGGAAGAAGACCGAGAAAATGTTCTCCACTCACTCAAAGCAGCGAGACTGGCGGGTCGAGCGCCTGCGAGGTAGGCCGACCTGTTACGCAGGCGTGCAAGACGCACCGGCCGGCTGCCTACCCGCCAGGCGTTCCAGAGCGTTCGACGCCCCGCGCCCGCGGCCTGCCCTGCCCAGACGGTCGTCGACACGCGTTTGCTCACGACACTGGAAGGGCAGAGATACAAGGGTAGAGCGCGAAAAGTCGATCGGCGAGCAGAGCGCCTGGGAGGTAGGCCGTCCTGTTACACAGGCGAGCGCGGCGGGCAGGCCCACCCTGCAGGCGCTCCGGAGCGCGGGGTGCCCAATTCCGCTGCGTGTGCTTCTCGCTCTGTCTCTCTCGCACTCGTGGAGTGTGCCGTAGGGGTGCGAGAGAGACAGAGCGCTGAGTGCCGAGTGCGGGTGGCGGATTCGGGGCCTGGTGCCCGGTCGGGTTCGCGTCCTTGCCCTGTCCAGACGGCCGCCGCCACGCGCCTGTGCACGGCGCGACGTGTTTCTGGGGAACTGGGTGACTCGCTGCTCGCGCGGCCTCCCGCCCCGGCCCCCCCGCCCCCCCCGCCCCGCCCCGCCCGCCGCCCCGCCCGCCCCGCCCCCCGCCCCGCCCCGCCCCGCCCCGCCCCGCCCCGCCCCGCCCCGCGCACCCGCTACACCGGACGCGGCGCGCCTCCACCGCCAGAGTGAATGTGTAACCGAAACGCGCGCCATCTGTCGCTGCAGCCTGAGTCGTGATTCGAGCGCCTTTTTTCGCGTGTGACTCCCTCGACTCCCTCGACTCCCTCGACTCTCTCTGCCCTCGCATTGTCACCGCGCGCTCCGCCCCGCCCGCGCCGCGCCGGCCGGTGCCACTGCCTGGCGCTGCCCACCGGGACGACCGGGACTGGGCAGCCCGTTGGTCGCGGTGGCTGCACTTCTTGGCGCGCGCTGCGAGTCGGCTTCGACGCTCTGTCTCTCTCTTACCTGCAAGCAGCGCCCCATGAGTGCGAGAGAGACAGAGCGATGAAAACGCCTCGCTGCCTCGTCGCGAGCGTCGCGAGCGTCGCGAGCCAAACGTGTACCGCGCGGGGGCGGGGCGTTCTGAGAAATCGCATGAAATCCGCCTTCAATACGGGAGGCCGCGGACTGGTTCAGAAAGGTGACGTCGTCGCTCTGTCTCTCTCGCACTCATGGGGTGCCCTGACGACGTGCGAGAGAGACAGAGCACCGTTCGGAATGAGGCAGCGGCAGCGCGGCGGTTTCACAGGGATTGCACTGGCGGCGTCCCTCCGTCACCGCCACGCCGCACGCCGCGTTGGCCGCGCGCTGCCAACCTGACGCAGCACTGATCTCATGGACGGCGCCACCGGGGAGGACGACGACGACGGCTGGCAGCACTGGGGCGCCGCGGGGCGCGGGGGGCGTTGAGGAAGGCCGGCAGGCCGTTGGGAGGCGTCCAAAGCAACCGTGTGCCGGCGCGGCCTGCCGGTGCAGGTGCGCGTCGTCGGCGCCTTCCTGTCCTGCCGCACGCCCTTCTCCGCCGCGGAGCCCCGAGGCGGGTCTTCGCGCGGCCCCCGCGCCCTGCAGGGCGTGCAGGG